TATCATGTTATAACTCAAGTAATATATCATAATGTACTAGAAATACAATACCATGTTATAACTCAAGTAATATATCATAATGTACTAGAAATACAATATCATGTTATAATATAAATAAGATATCATTTTGTACTAGAAATACAATACCATGTTATAAGTCAAGTTACATGTATATACAGTATCATAATGTACTAGAAATACAATAGCATGTTATAATTTAAGTGATATATCATTTTGTACTAGAAATACAATATCATGTTATAATTTAAGTAAAATATCATAATGTACTAGAAATACAATATCATTTTATTTATTTTTTTCATTACGTAGTAAACACGTTATATTGTATAAAAACAACGTTTTCATTTTGTAGTAAACAAGCAATATTGTATAATAACGTGTTGGGTTTTTTTAAATCTTATTTTTTTTATTAACCATTAATCGCCAAAATTTAAGCATATTATATATAGTGTATTGTTTCACATTTAAAACGAAAAGGAAGTTAATAAAAGTAAATAATCAAAATGAAAGATTCAATCCGGTTATTCAGTGTATAACTTATTGCTGACCATAATTTCTTCCGTTTTGTGCACATTCAAAAATATTTGAATGTTCTAGCCTGGTGACATGTACGTACCATTGGATCGTCAAAGGCGATACATTTATGCGTTTGGTTGGTTTTTTAAAGCTTTTTCTGTTGTGTGTCACTGAATAAGACGTTGAAGTTATTTGTTCAAGTATATCCGACTTAATTGATAAGAACAAACTTGATAGAAATTTCCGAGTGCAAGATAATCTAATAATGATCACCACTACGGTTGGATATTTCTAAGTTAGATCTTTAAGGTAGGGGATGATTATGTTTCTCCCATCATTCCAATACAATTTTTCAAAACAACAGTTTTCATCATTTGTAATTGTGATCTGTTTGTTATCCTGATTTATACACGATCTCTCCGGTCCAAAGCTGATAATGATGTCATGTTGGATTGCTCCCTTGACGTTATAGTGTTGTTTCGTTCTGCGTGCAACCTGTAATTCCCTAAAAATGACAGAAAAATCAGACCATAGGGGAGGTGACAGAGATCTCGTGAACATGTGAAACGGGAGAAAAAATCATTAAAAGTTGGGATAACTCACGATCTAATTTTCTGTCCTTTAAACAAAGAAGGTTAATATTGACCAGACAATACGAAATGTAGTAGTCGTTCTTATATTAAGAAATGTTAATAAAGGTGTATTGAGAAGGTTCTTCAAACACTACTGTAGGCACACATCTTCCGTACGAATGGGCAAAAAATAGTTTAGCACCTTAAATGACTACAAAAAAATTAAATAACAATACACGAGAAAAACTGTGACATCATCCGGCAAGAATTACACAAGTTATTAATTATTGAATGGTATGCACTAGAATCTAGTGGCTACTTTTCAATGCTAAAATAAAGGTTGCGACTTAATCTGAAATACGCTCCTATATCAAAGCATGGAGTGCTTTACGTATACCGCAAAAACAGATACATGCAGAATTGTGTAGCATACAAGGCATATCTGCCGTCATATTATGACCTGTTTTAAGGTTGGTGAAGAACTTCAAGAATGGTAAAGTTAATATCAAAGAGGACACACGGCCAGGCAGACTAGTTGTTGCAGCATCAAAGGAGAATATTGCTGCTGTGAAAGCAATAATGAAGGATCATGGTCGTGATACTATTTATGAGATAGCTCATACAGTTGGCATTTCAGAAGGCAGTACATATCACATTCTGAAAGTAAAGAAGCTTAGTGTCCGATGGATCTACATTTGCTGATATCTGAATAAAGGCAAAACGTTTGAAATATTAAAAGATATATTGAAAATGCACGGTAATTGTCACTCAAAAAACTGTGTGGGTAACTTACAGGGACTGAGACTTGTGTCTATTACTTTGAAAATTTGAAAGCATCAAGAAAGTTTTGCAAGCCATTTTGTTCAACTCTATACTGCCAAGTTCTACAGAGGCAATTACTGAAGCCTGTCAACAGATTATATTTCAAATAAAAAGATTGAATAGCATCGAGCTGATTCACGACGATGATACATCCCACATAGGCATCAAAGGTACAGATTGACAACCCACCCAGATCTAAGTTCCTCTGTTTCATTTGAAAATGCTCTTTGATGATCGGTATGCCTCTAGACGTGCTCAGGGTAGTGCAATCTTCCAGTGTCTCGCCAGTATACCAAGGGGAGACTACCGCGCTGTGTTTACGGCATTTATAGCGCGATTGTGAAAGTGGTTTTTTTCTGTTTAGTGGGTGGTAGTTCAAAAGATAGTTATAGAAATATCAAACGATATACATCATACATGTGATTCCTGACAATAGTGGCAGAATTACTGAATGAACCTCGTATTACGTATTTAAATCTTATTTACTATCATGATTTAAAAAAGCCTGACCATTTATACTGCCTTTTAATCGAAGTGACAAGGATTGGTGTTTGAGCATTATTGCTGCTCAGCAATAGACAGTAACTTCTTGGTTAAGACCAATCATTGGCTACCGGGACGGCTGCGTGGACCACGTGGCTTGTTTCGTTTTTTGTAGGTCGGGTGTCTTTTTAATCTACCTGCACAACAGTTTGTTGTGAAATCGTTCAGACAGCTAAGCAGGGAAGACCAGAAGATAACAGTTGAAGGTAAGCTCTGTTATCTTATAATTTGTAAATGTATCATCCTTTAAGGTGAATTTTAAATATTTTGTCTAGAAATGTAGTGATATGCTTTTGCATGTGAGGTTTATTATGGTATACTTTTAATCAATGGTACTTTATTTCAACAAAACGTGAAATTATTTATTGTTTATTGTAAAGGACGCGTTAAATCCTGGAATCTACAGAATTATGAAAAAGAATTTGTCATGCGCTGCATAAACAATGTTTGTTTCCATGTTATGGAGTCTAGGGTTTGCTAGATTCATGAAAACTATGTGCTAGAGAAATACAACAATTTCTGAACCCGCTTCAAAACAAAAGGTATTTCAAACTTCAGATAAAATATACATCAAAATCCGATATGATTGTTTAAGATTATTTAACATCTAAGCAGGTAATGTTAAATTGCTCTACTAAGGAGCTTAACGTTGATTAGAACATGTGGGCTTTAAGTCTGCACGATACTAACATGCCAACCTGTTCTAGTTTTGATTCGTCTAAAACTACATTTCATAAATAATACTTCTGAAATCGACTAAAAAGACGATATGTGTATTCGACACTTGACTTGACTTGACACTTATATAGATAGTTCTCTTTTTAAATTTAAAAAACTTGAAATAAATATATTCACCATATATTATATCTGATATAATAATTCAATTGTATCCCATGTTATGCGCATGAACTATAGGTAAATGACTAATCATACAGAGCAACAGTACCTGTAAGGTCCATTTGATGCTCATTCAAGTTTGCATAAATCTTGCTAAGGTAATCAAATTTCTGAGTTGGCGTAAATGTCAGGTTTTAAAAGAGGGGGGGGGGAGTAAAGAAGTGATCGACACAAGCATACGGGTGTTAGTTGTTGAAGGCCCCTGTTCAGACTAAAGTTACTATTGACAGTTTTAAACAACATGATAAATTCTAAAATGATTGTGAATCAAAAGTGTGTTAACGTTATATTCTAACAAAAGGTATAAAAGATAGCACAAACCAAATGTGACGTCACAGGTTATCAATGGGGACAACTTAACCTAATTTAAGGCATTATCATCTGTGTGTTAGTCACAACTTATTCAGTTTGACAATATTGATCTAGCTATTGAAAGCACTCGTATTTCACAAAAAAAGACCTACAAATTTAAAGTCCTTGCAACAGCAAATGTCATCTGAAGACGGATGCCTAGGTAGACACCACTGAAAAAAGAAAGAGAAGAAGAGTCAGAGAGAGAGGGAGCAACAGGCAAAGCCTATACAAACCTTCTACTTTAAAGACATTCATTGACAAACCAACGTTGAGGAGGCACGGTAGTCTAGTGGTAGGATCCCGGGCTCGTGACCGAAGGGTTCGAGTCACGGCACGGCACTGTATCTATGAGCAACATACTTTACTCCGTTTGTTAGTCTACTCAGCTGTAAATGAGTACGTGGTTGGGCAGTGCTAGAATTGTTGAATGCTAGCACAGAAATGGAAGCTCCTGCAGTATGCTAACCGGGGAGTTGTGAAATATATTGGTCTGGTGGTTGCAAATGCCTTATAACCACAAAAAATAATTTGTGAACCGATTTGAGACGACCTACGAACTAGTATGAGATAAAACGGTATATAAGAACCTCGAATTATTATTATTATAACACATTTTAGTCTATGGCCTATGAACCTGACTACAATAAGAACTTGACCATTAAGACTGCACCAGCTTTAATCAGATCACACCAGACGTTATAGTTTGACACCCATGTGCAGTAGACAAATGAATTTGCTGATTACACACGAGGCACCTGTGTATAATCTGCAATCCTAAACTACGGTATCAGAGTTTGTGTTGACAAACTAATGTGCAAGAGCCTCAGTAAAATACTGGTATACTATTTCAGAAGTATAATTAAAAGTTCTGCTGTAAAACAGGCATCACCATTAGTATTCATTATACTTCTTTCTCTTCACATGACGGACATGCTTTTGTTTGAATTAAGCTCTGAAAAAACACATTATCAAGAAAGAATTAGATTATTCCGAAAAAGCATAATATGTCTAAACAATTACAATATAAAAGCATTCTAAAATTCTAAAATTAAATTAATTAAATTAATGTAACTAAATGGAATAATGGTAACAAACTGTGAATCAAAATGAGAAATTGTTTTGTGTATTATTTTATGTAAAAAATGCTTAACTCATGTTTAGAACAGTGTCGTTATTTGTATTATGAATAACAATAAAAATAAACCAGTTTCATTTTACCGACTTATTATCAAACTGTCAATCTAACTTGCAGATTAGGAAAATATGGGACACGTTATGAAATGACAAAAAAAACGGAATAAGTCCTACCCAGCAGCGGGGTTTAAAATTGACAGACATATAAAACGTGTAAATACGATATTATTTAAGCACAAAATAAAATAAAAAGTCTACCACATTCATTAGAATATGACAGAGATGTGTTTGTTAAACAGATCAACCTGTTTAGGGTTAACATAGGGAAGGCGATGTTACACTTATTGTCAGAACACGTACAAGTCCAAATTGAGTTTATGTAACTTAGTTTAAACAAAATATTCCTTATCCTACAACAATATGCCTTCCGATAATTTTGATGATTTATAAACAATTTCTCTACAAATATGTGCATTGGCATTTAATATGAAGGAAGATTAAAGTAGAAAATAGCGTCGATGAATATTTTACATTAACTTCCAACTGAAGACATATCTGGATTCCAATATGCTCTAAGTTCTAAAATATTACAATCGTGGTTAAAAATTTACACATTTGTTACCACACAACTACATATAACTCAACACGTGAAAGTTCGTTGGGGTTTTTACGTTAAGTATCATGTTTAGTTCCGAATGTCGCTATTTTGCAATGGTTAACATAAGTGTAAACTCTTGTGCTAAAATGTTATTATTATATTGAGCTTCCGAAACGACTTTGAACTCGGTGTAGAAGTTAATATCACTTACACAGGCGTACTTTGATGATTGTAAGTTATATAAATATTATTGTTATGACAGTCCTGCAAAAGTTGGGGAAAACGTACAAATTTAACCTCTACCTAGTTCTATAATCATCAGTGCACGAAAAACGGTTACGTGGCAAATCTAAAAGTTGTATATGGATTTATCAGTTCAATTGACGTATTGCGATATTTTTCGTCCGTCAATGTACGTCATGCGTAGTGTCTGGTGGGTAAACAATATATTGATCACTTAAAGCCTATGAAACGTCCAAACCTATCTCAAAATCTTTATAAGCTGATTCAACTGAACCAAATGATAATCTGAAAATCGACTGATGTTTACGATAAAGGTATTCTGTCATGATTAATCAGAAATCCAATCTGGCCACCATGGCCAAAAGGCCGCCATTTTGATAACCTATTCCAAGCTTCAACTCAACAAAGAACCTATTCCGTCTTTGCGTATTGCAGAGCTATCTTCTCTTATCAAAAGATATGGATTGTTACGTCATTTGTTTGTGAGTGCAACGTCATCAATTTTTGAGAAAACGACGTAATTTTCTCACACAAACCAATGACGTAACAATTAATATCTGCTCTCAAGAGAAGATACCTCTGCAATACGCAAAGACGGAATAAGAAAAGAGCAAACGTGATATTAAGTATTGAAAAGATCGAAAATTTGCGATATTTTTTGTTGGGGGGGGGGGGGGGGGAGAGATTATTACTTCTACCGTATGTATAACTTTAGACCAAGGAATCAATGACTTTCTCTCTCTTAATTGTTTTTGTTTCGGTTTGTTTGTGTTAGCGGTCTATTAACAGCTGAGGTATTTTAGAACGAGCCAGGTTTAAGTGGTGAAGGAAAAACCGGGAACCCCGGAACTACAAAACACCGACCTAAGGCCAATACCTGTCGATTGCCCTACGAAGGCATCAAACACCAACGACCAAGTGGTGGAAGACTAGTGACCGTAAATAGTCAGACGCCTTAACCACTTTGCCAACGACACCGAAATCTAGACACAATACATACAAGTTTTGTTTTATGATGTCATGTAGTTCACCAAAGCGGGCCATCTATGGATTTTGTCCCCATATTGAGACAAACCAGTGTTCCTAACAGTGTTAATTGATATTTCCTGTTACCGTTCATTATGTAGGGTAATCGTAACAACTGGGTAATACTTTTCAGCCTATGTGACCAGCTACAACACTGTGTTGGGTGCCTTCGGCATGGTATTTCCGTAAGGTAGCCTCCAGCAACCCATACACACACGGAAACGAGTCCTTAAATGACCAAATAGGACGTTGAACCAAATTAAATGAAACCGACCAGAATCGTGGCCCATTCATGAATACACAAATATCAGCATCTCAAATACTTGCAGGTTACATTAAAGTTGTTGTTTTTTTCGTTGACCACCGATGAGACAAAGCATTCTAGTAGGTTTCGTTCACATATACACACAACGTATGTTCATTCACGGTTGACGATCAACATAAAAACATAACAACATGTTTTCTTTTGTCCTTTGTTCTTTCAAGCAATCAAAAATGTCTGAGAACCCAAAACGTGTAGCTGTCATTGGCGCAGGTGTGGCAGGACTGAGTGTCCTCAGAAATCTCACTGATACAAGCAAGAACTATATCCCGACATGTTTTGAAAGAGGAAGTGACATAGGTGGTGTCTGGGTGTATAACAAAAACACCCATATCGATGAAAATGGAATGCCAGTTTTCACAAGCATGTATCGGGATTTAATGTAAGTGTAATAAACAATACAATATTAAACAACAATTACTCTAAAAGTGTGTATCACAACTTTCAAAATTTGTTTAAAACACAGTCCAAGTAGAGAACTTCTACCGTTTACAAAAATGTCATTAAAATGTTAGAAGCAACTACATTGTCCACTACACACTTTCATATAGCTCCTCAAATATTACATTTAATTAGTCAAGTCGTATTGCAAAGATATGCTCGGCATGTCAGCCTTAGTGTATTAGCATTCTAACATACTAATTGATGATTCCCTAATCGAACATAAGAGCTATGTGTAAAGTATTAGTTTTGAGAAATGGTTGTAACATAAATATATTTATCTTTGACATTTGGTCAAACCACTGACATTAAGAAACATATGAAAGACGACTAACCACAGCTTCATTGACATCATAACAAACCAAAACTCCATCGAGATATTTTTTCTTTGTTCGTTAGGCTTTACATGTATGGAGATAAGAATGATATTCGCTAGCTCAGGGGCACAATTTTATATATATATTTATACATTGTAGGACCAATATTCCAAAGCAATTGATGGCTTTTCCGGACTTTTCGTATCAACCTGGGCCGTCTTACATATCACGACCCGATGTGTGCGACTATTTACAAAGATACGCTGACAAATACGACCTCAGACAGCATATAAAGGTTTGTTTATAAACGTATTTCTCATGGCTGCAGATTGTCAAGATTGATCAAATTATTGTCCGTGACAATGGCTGTTTCACATGCGCTATACAGCTAAATATAGCTTTAAATAAACCGTACCCATACCCACCTGCTTGCGGCTGGCACGCGTCATATCCATGCCGTTTGTTCCATATTCAATCGGCATACTCCATCCGGCACGTTCCATATCCATCATGCACGCTCCTCATCCGTCCTGCACGCTCCCTATCCACCGACAAGCTGCATATACGACCGTCATGCTGCAAATAGGACCGTCACGCTTCATAATCCCTGACACACACCATACCTGTCAGGCATATTTTATATTTATCACATATCTGTTGAATCTTGTTATAGTAATACAAGCAATTTTCAGACCATGAAATACAACGTTCTGTATTACACATGTGCAATGCTGAATGTTGTATTTACCTACTAGCCGGAACTACTTTTTATTGGAATCCCCTTGCCATGGAGAACTGAAAAGTTCCCGGTATTTGCAAAAAACAATTAAGTTTATAAAATCTTTGTATCGATCTCTACCAAATTCGGCAAGTATGTGATAAAAGCAAGATCCGCGCACTCGTAAATATATTCTTCCACGCCATAAATTCGTGCTTTCTGATTCGTTAGAAAAACACAAGTGTGTGGTCTTGCATATGTATTAAATGCTAATATTTGATATGCTAAAACAGGGTATAATAATACCGCTCCCATAATGGAGATATCAGATTGAAAGTGAATAGAGTATGAATAGAATCATAACTATAGTAAAAAAGCATAGTCGTCATTTTACCTACATTTGGCTTGTTGAGTCAAAAAGATAAACAAGTACCTAACAGCTAAATATTGTTTTTATAAAAATATGGCGATATATAGATATAAAGAAATTGTTATGTATAATGTTTCAAAACGTTCTGCTTATTGATTTGTATAACCCCACGTATCATTGTCTTAAGAATACTTACTTACATTTTGTATTATTAGAAGAATATTTTATATCGCTTTTATACTTTCGATTTCTCATCAGATGAACACGTTTGTTCAAACTGTTCGTCCCAATGGCAAAGAAAGAGATACGAAATGGACTGTTAGCTATTTCGACGTGAGGAAAAAAGATGAGGTTCACAAAGAAGTTTTCGATAACGTTATTGTGTGCAGCGGGTAAGAGATGCCATCTATCGATTGATTAAGAAAATTATTGATGCTACCTTCATTTTTTTTAACAGATTTACGCTTTAGTGGGCAAAAGTAAAGGGGAAAGTGAAAATAGAAAAGTCGGATCAAGCCACATTTAAAAAAGATAAAACAATGTGGGTTTTTTTAATCTCAAAAATAAAGCTTAATCACGTGGGATTGAAATGCATTTTTGGAAGTGAATGTATTGCATGATCATTGCTAGTGTACATAATAAAGTATCAAAGTATATCTATTTATAAGTTTTTTGCAATCATACCAGAAGTACAATTACAAAAATACTTTAAATCACATTATTTACATTATGTAACGAAGTTTATTGGTGATTTGATTGAATATAATCACTAATTTGACATTATTCGTGAGTATTTCGTCAATTTAACTGTGACACTCTTTCAAATATTTTATATTCATGAGTAATTTATACAAAATTAGTTCTTCAGTGTTCTTTCCTTTTTGTGTTTAAGCGGACTTCCATGCATCTTATTGAAACGTGTGATATAACCAAATCTCGTACCTAAAGCATTATTAAGATGACAACACAGACAGAAATATAGACTTGTGATTTCTTATTCAGGTAGATTTGTCATTTGTAATGACATAATCTTCAGACTTGATACAGCTTTGATGTAAATATCCATTATCTTTTTGAATCTGCAAAACACAACAAAGATAAATTTGGATTGTTTCACAAACGTCTTGCTTACAGAATCTGCAAGTACTAAGTTTATTTATTCCAATTTCAAGTCACCATGAGAAACCCTATTCGCCGGAGGTCGACGGACTCGACAAATTCAAAGGCGAAGTCCTCCATAGTCATAACTACAGGATCCCGGAGTACTTTAAGGACAAGAAAGTTGTTATACTTGGAGCTTCATTTTCTGGACAGGATTTAGCCGTTGGGATATCGCGGTATGGAAAAAAGGTAACGCAAATCTACAAAATATGCCGGCATGTTATTTTTATCAAGAAACATATTTTCTGCAGGCTATTATATATAAGATGCAGTCTCTCCACGATGTCAGTATGAAACATTTTTTGCTTAACAAAGATCAATGATTTAGCAGGAGCCGGGATAAACTATCTAGGTTTTGGGTGATTTTAGATGGCAATCAAAAAGAGGTAGGATAAATGTACTCGTTGTCGTTTTCTATAGATCACAGAACATGTAGAACATTAACCGAATTTGATTATGAAATATTTTTTTTACAATTTTATCGTTAATTGCTTGTTTATCAATTTCTACAGTAAACATGTTTTTCTCGGTCGTTTTATGATGGGTCAACTATATCATTGAGCTTTCTTGACTAATAAGCTAGACTAAAATAAACGTTTTTTTCATGGATTTTGTTCAAACATATTTTCTTATTTATAATCATAACGATGGACTTGGTAGAATAGGAATATGTCTACCGATCAGAAAACTATAAGGAATTTATGCTAAAGGTACAAAATTCCAACGCTTTGAGTTGAATTTCCATCAAAGGAAAAGCTCCAATAGGTTTCATATAATTCGTATTTCATCACCGGGACTCTTGATTAAATACATACCAATTATGACATTTGTAACGCGAATACCTATCAGCATCATGACTTGAAAAAATAAATTAAAAAAAACTCCTTCAGAAGCAAACAACATTTATTATCTTTGAATATAAAGAAAATACCATAACTTTATTGGAAAAATCATTTTATTATATTTAGGTTTTCCTCAGTCATGTGAAGGACCCCCTTCTGACAGTACTGCCAGCAAAAGTGGTGGAAAAACCAGGAATCAAACATATGACTGAAAGTGGGGTAGTTTTCCTCGATGACACCAATGAAGAAGTGGATGTTCTTCTGTTCTGCACTGGTTACCGAACTCATTTTCCCTTTCTGTCCAAAGACGTATTGCAAATTAACTGCCAGCGCGTTACACCAGTGTACAAGCACATTGTGCACATTAAATTCCCCACCCTGTTCTTTGTCGGTATTCCAAAACTTCTGAGTTATTTCCCACAAAGCTTCGAAATAGCAAAAGCTATAGTTGCCATTTTGAATGGTACTGTCATACTACCGTCAGAAGACCAGATGTCGGATGATGCCGAAAACGATTTCGCCCAGAGAAAGAAAGAGGGGCTGGATGACTCTCAAGCTCACTTCATGGGGGATGGAGATCGTCAATGGCGCTTCAACAAGGATATAGCAAAGATGGCAGGGCTCGATCCTCTCCCTACTTCTTTTCAGCGTCTCTGGGACTACGTAATAGTTCAAAGAGATCATCATTTCCTCACTTTCCGCAAACAGAATTTTGATATTATTGATTCTGACAAAATTGTTGAAGTTCAGTAATGAAGAGGCTGGCTACTTTGAATGATGATCTCATTACCGATAGCTCAGTGTATGTAAGACAATATCATATCTTCTATATATTTACAGTTCGTAATCTTTATTACAAAGAATTATATTTCATAGGATTTTTAAGATTTTACTGAATGACAACTTATAAACTGGAACATTGTGATGAATCATACGGTTACGCAGAAAGCTATCCTAAGGACTTTTAATTTTCACAAACTTTTTGCAGTTCAGAATTGATTGAATCGGTGAACTAAAAAAAACACATTAACGTATGTGACCTGATCGTAGCGTATTTCATGTTGACAAAGAGTTATTGGTAATGGTATATACCCAAAGAACTATAAATCGTGTACTTAACGTATGAAGTGATAAGGTAATATACAATATATATTTTTCTACATGTCATCGCCATGATAATAATGTTTGATTGGTTATATCTTGGTCTGGAAAAAACTGCTCTGTTCTTGATTGAAGCTGCGAACGCGCTATCGATTAAACACAAGAAATAAGCGTAAGTAATAGCAGTTTAATTTAATGGGACACCATGCTATACAGACTTTCCATAAGACTATGTTTTAACAGTTACAAAAGCATATGAGAATTTAGGAAAATACTATCATTTATGTATTTTCGTTGTTATTTAGGGAGATATTATTTTTGCATTTGATATATATAAATAGTTATGCTATTTTCATAGTACACTTGGAAACAAAACCACCGATATATTAGAGAAATTTAACGCATATTCAGAGATTTAAATTGCTTACGAGAAACATGGGGAGACTCAGGCTTAATGAAAAATTATGAAATTAATGAAACGACGTGCTATGTGTAATGTTTCTAGAAAACATCAAAATTAAGATCTTTTTCATGCAAACATTAATTCCGATATTTGAAAAACAAGCCCTTGACTAAAGTACTCTGAGTAAATAAACACTTCAGAAGATGCAATCAGTGAAGAAGCCCACGTATATGAAGATAATTTATATAAACCGTAAATTCATAAATAACTAGAGATTGATGACTACATACACTTATTTCCCTTTAGGGCTCAGGTTAAACCTATTTCATCAATCAAGACCTAGTTATCTTTACCATATCCTCAGAATATCTTGGTGCTTGCTTGTATTTTATCGTACAAATAGATTGAAACGCGTTTTCTAATAAACTAATAACTCTTGATAATACAACACTGTTACTAACTATATATTTATGATTGTAATAAATGATTAAACTCATAATAATAAGATATTGTTATTGTTACCTGAAATATGTTTATGTTACTGGATTTTTTTAACAGTTTGTATCTTCATATTAACTTTCATTGCGACTGTTTCGTTTCCGGACACCTTAAAAAAGTAAGGACACCTTACTAAGCAATAACTGAAGTTTGGTCTTAGTGTTAAGTGTTGGCCCAACTGAGGGAAGTTATGGGTTCTTTTCAATAAACAAGACAAATCAATGTCCGAGGAAATTGGTACTTAATTTTCTCTGCCTGACTTTTAGCTTTACATAGGTTACGGTAACGGACTGCTGTACTGCAATTAGTATAATATGACCTTGTGTGACCTGGTGGAATTTGAATGTATAATGTGACCGTGTGTGACCTGGTAAAATTTGTATGTAAAATGTGACTTTTTGTGACCTGGTAGAATTTGAATGTATAATGTGATCTTGTGTGACCTGGAAGAATTGGCATGTTAAATGTGACCTTGTGTGACCTGGTGGAATTTGAATGTATAATATGACCTTGTGTGACCTAGTAGAATTTGAATGTATAATGTGACCTTTGTGACCTGGAAGAATTGGCATGTATAATGCGACCCTGCGTGACCTGGTGGAATTTAAATGTATAATATGACCTTGTGTGACCTGGTAGAATTTCCATGTATAATGTTACCTTGTGTGTCCTGGAAGAATCGGCATGTATAATGTGACCTTGTGTTACCTGGTAAAATGTGCATGCTTATTAAGACCTTGTGTGACCTTGTAGAATTTGCATGCTTAATGAGACCTTGTGTGACCAGGAGAAATGTGCATGCATAATGTGACCTTGTGTGACATGAAGAAACCCATACTACGACGCCCTGTTAAGACATTTCAGTGGGATGATACTTTAAAGGGGGCCAGTTTATACACCTGACCTTTCATAACGTTTTTTTTTTCATTTTCGTTTCTGAAGACCACGTTATTATTGTTTTACTATGATATAACAACTTTGACTCAATACCTTAAAACGATAATTTCGTATGGATATGTAACCACAATAAGGTCGATACAAAATATTTTCTGGCAGTTAATAATAGGAATATAAATATTCGATTTAATCATTCCTGTTCCACTGCTAAAACCGTTAAATATAATTGTTTTAACGGTGTAACTATAGCTTTGATCATTCAATTATAGAACGGAAAGCATACCTTCGGGCACTTTAATGAAAAACAAAATCGCAAAGGTCAAACAAAGAAAAAATAATAATCAGCGGGGCTAGACCGGGATATGAACCCTATATCCCATATTATAAAACAGTTTTATAAATGACTGAGATAAACTGTCAACGGAAGTGTTCTTGTCTAAGTGTGATATAGTTGTTTCCAAAACAAAATTAAAGGGATGTTCTGTATATATATTGAGTGCAGCGGGATAGGAATCCTTAAATTATAT